GAGAGACTGTTGTGGATAACGACCATATACAACGAGAGAAGACTAAACGACGGGCGCTGTATTGCCCATGCACTATTTAATTACTTGGGCGAATGCGATTCAAAACGTCCGCATTATGAATCGCCTAATCGGGCAGTTATCGCAGGTTTCTTTGCTACATGCGTCTCAAGCGTTCGGCCTGGATGGAGGTTTGATTTTACAAAGCCTTATTTGACTTAGAAGTCTTTGGAGAACCAAAAGGCTCGAGTCTTGAGACAGATGCAGATATATCTACTAGAAGAGTATGCCGGGAGGGCTGAGCAACCCGCTGCTTCTACATCTAACCTGACTGTCCCCTCGGTTTTATGTTAAATCTGATTGAATGAGTGTTCACGTGAGTGTTGGCGGTTCAGCTAACACATGCGTAATTGCAGCAGGGCAAAAACGTAGTTCCCAGCCAGTCATCTCGTCCAATCTCACCTCAAATCACATTTAACGCAGTATTTTCACCCATACACGATATAAAAAGATAAGAGAGGCGATGTGTCCGATCGCAAAATAAATTTTAATAATGAACTTATTTCGATGCATCCAAGGTCGATAAATGTCATACAAATTTCACCCTTGAAACCGATGGCAGGGTGGTTTGGTTGTTTGACTGTTACGGTTGCAATCATAACCGTGACAGCAAATCTGGATGGATTAATCAATTCCCTTCGCCAGTGCCAGAGGCCGAAGACCGAAGGTCCTAGAACCACTTTCATGACCTGACGGACTGAGTCGAGCCAGGTTTTGCGCTGACGGTCTCTTCCATGTGTTCAACTGAATGCCGGTATGGGCTCGAAGACAGTAACACTGACCTCGTGAAGTTGATGACGAAGAACGTATCCAAAACACCTCAGTCGTCGTTCTTCGATAGCCTGGGATATCCTTGCGATGTTGTCGCAACGAGTGCGGACCGCCTCATTTGCGACGAAGTCGGTTTGCTGCACTCAAAGGATGGTACTCAAGCATCAGTAGTTAAATTCCTCCCGTTTTCTTTCCTCTTTAACGTGCATAGCCCAGCATTCACAACCGTAGAGAAAGACAGACCGAAGGGATGCTCAGTATATTCGAACCTTCGCGGCACATATCTCGTCGTGTCCATCAGCACTTTCCAAGGCTTGAGAAATGAGCCCATGTCAATCACTGGTCGTTTTGTTTCCTTTCTTGACACCGAAAGGGAATGGGCGCCGTTCACTAAAATCCCATTCACTTTAGAGCCGCTACTTCTCAACCCACTGTTGTCCTGGTGATACGAATGTGCGGCCGCGTACGTAGTTATATTAACTGACATTTTGAGAGAACTAACGAGGGAATAATAGATTAGCATGTAGATCGCTAATGGTATCTTCCAGCCCACGATCTTTCCCGATAGCATTTACGTGGGAATGCCAATACTCTACAAAAGGTAGTCACAAGTAAATCCCCAAGCCTCAAGGTACTTACCAGATCTGCAACTGTATGTTGTAACTTTCCACAAGGTAGGTCCGGTTCACGAAATCAATACCTTAAGTGACAGAGAAAAAAAAGTCATCATGGAGGCAAGGTACAAAAATTGTGAATAAGATTAGGAGGCTGTGTAGTGGTCGTTTTCCTGTGCAAGTTTCCCGAAGCAATTTGTCCAAAGTCTCTGTCTCATTGAAAAGCTTTTTCGCACATATCTATCAAACACTGACTTCTGCGTTCCCAGATGACTACTGCTATGTGTCCGTCTATCTGATCGTTACTCGGCATCTCTACGCCCTATGATGCATGGGCCGATCCGAGAGGAATTAGTTAGCTAGAAGTTCAACGCTGTGGCTTGTTTCCAGAGGTTGAGCCACTGCTGTCGGGGCTGGAGAGCTAGCACCAAGGCACAACGAAGCGAGATAGTTCCGTACCGATCAGTGAAGGTTTATCTACTATTGTGTATATTCCCGATCGAAACCGACCAGGCACCGAGCGCGTGGCGCAGCGTTTAGAGCGCTGGACTTCTAACTAACAGGTCGCGGGTTCAAGACTAGAGGGCCGCCATCACTGAATTGAGTATGGCTGAATAATGACGGCCACTAAGACAGAAATGGCCCTTCCAGTCTCTTTGATTTTTTGCTGGTAATGTTGTTAGGATGACCGAGCACGTGAGCCACCAACCTTGTCATCCAGACAGATATCCTGAGGTCACGCCGGACAGAGGCGCGCGAATAAAGGACAAAACAGGCCAGTCCGGTGAATACAGAGCGGGCCAAGTCACGTGACCTTGAACGGCAGACATCACGCAAGGAGGCAAGGCGTTATGCGCACGCGATACCGCTGTAATGCTGAGGTAACGCCTAGCCAGGGGCAAAGCGCGCG